AATAAATCAATCAATCAATCAACTTTATTTCTATAGCACATTTAAAATAACCACAAGGGTAGCCAAAGTGCTGTACAATGACACATAAAAACAAATAACACAATCAAAGAACAAGATAAAGTGAGCAGAAATACATTAATGCAAGGGAATAAATAAGTAAATAAATAAGCAGGCTCACGGCAAGTGCTAAAATGATTTAAAAAAAATAATAACACTAAAAAGTATCAAAAGCCAAGGAGTAAAAGTGTGTTTTTAGAAGGGATTTAAAAACAGGAAATGAGGAGGCCTGTCTGATTTTCAAGGGCAACTCATTCCAGAGCTTCGGGGCAGCAGCAGCAAACGCTCCGTCCCCTCTGAGCTTCAGCCTTGTATTTGGGACCGTCAGTAGCAGCTGATCGGCTGATCTTAGGGGTCGGGGTGGGCAATAAGGCTGGAGCATCTCAGAAATGTAAGGTGGAGCAAGATTGTTCAGGCTTTTAAAAACAAATATTAAAAGCTTAAAATTAATTCTGTGCTGTACAGGGAGCCAGTGTTAGGATGCCAGGATGGGGGTGATGTGCTCACGCCTGCAGGTCTGGGTCAGGAGACGTGCAGCAGAGTTCTGCACAAGCTGCAGGCGGGCAATGGGTAAATGGGTATGGATCTGAAAAATAACCCAGAAATTTAACTCAAAATGTATAACCCTGGAATTGGGTTCAAGAAATAACCCAAGAGTTTTTTGTGTACAGTTACCCTCACTTTTCCTGTGTTTAACTAATTAGTTGATGCATACAGTGATGGAGGAGTCTTATTGGCCAAAAGAGCTGTCAATCAATCAATCAATCAATCAATCAATCAATCAACCAATCAATCAATATTTTGAAATCAAATAACAACTTCATACTAATCTTCTCAGAAAAGTAAGCACTTGGACATAAATTTGCATAGCTATAATGACAACAAACATCTCTGGTAACATTAAGGAGGCGGGCCTTATGACCTATTCTGCAGACAGCCAGTAGGGGGAGCTCTGAATATTCAGACTTCACAGTCTGTAAACACTTATAGCGTCCATTTTAGTTAACAGTCTCTGGGTTTAACATGTAACTGTGACTGGTGGCAGCAGGTCATGTTGTGGTTTGTTGTTTTAATCTCAAGATCGCCTGAAAATCGTTCCCACAAGAAAATAAACTTTTTATTCCCAGATTACTAGAAAAATATGATCTTGACAAAACAACACAGAATAATTTATTGCAGGATTATTCAGGAGGTGTATGTCTGCTTAAGGCTTCTATATATTGGACAATCAGTGCAATCTCACTTTATAACATGACTCTTTAATCTGGAACAGACCAGGAGATCAGATTTAATCTCACTCTATAACATTTATTATGTTTTTAGTCCTTATTTCCCAGAAGATCATCCAGCAGACGCTCACACATGTAGAGGCAGCGAGGGACTTGAAAGAAACCTGAAGACAAGAAGATGATCGCAACTCTTAACCAACAGGGCAGAATGTAAATTAAACAGGACTGCAAGGACAGACAAAAAACTACATCAAGATAATCTTTGTTTTTCTACTCGTGAGGCTGAGAGAAATGTAGCTATAGTTTATTTTCAGTAGACAGTAAAAAATACAAGTCATCTTAAACAGAACAGAAAACAATAATACTAGGACAGTTTTATAATAAATTTTAAAAGAAATTTTGTGTCTGGTCATCCCATCGAACTTCCAGTGGACCTATCCCTGCCTAACACCACCAATCCTACAACGAGAAAACAAAGAAACCACCTGAGATCCCAATACATTCACTTTACAACTCATGCTATGAATAACTAACCCCCCTTTCATACTTTCCATTCTTCCTATGCTGTTTGGTATTAGCATGAACATTAAAATACAACACAGAAAGATAAATTGACATTCATAGCATAGATTATACATTAACAAACTCTATGATTAAAATGAATAATAATTTTTGCTCCTTAACATCTTTGGCTGCTTGTGTAGTGTTCTTGTCCATGGGTGTTCTCCGTTTGTGTATCCAATGCAATGTTCTTGTTCACATCCTCTGTCAGGTTTCAGTTTCAGTTTATATTGTCCATGATTGATTGTCTTTGTTGGGAGGTGTGGGTCCATTAAGGCTGTTTAGATCTCTGGAGAACCACCTTTCTTTAGCTGGTCTCCCCAACTGCTGTCCTGAGAATGAAAAAATTAAGCAGTATCTTGCCAAAAACATAAATTTTTGACATGTTTATCATATTTCCCCCTAAGTAATACCTCCCCTTTACATCATCAAAATGTAAACCCTGTGTGCCGGCCAATCTTACCCAGAGGGTTTTTTCATCACCCCATTCATTTTTTTTCACAGATACCTTGGCTTTGAGGATGGTACACAGCTCCCAAACATTGCTCAATTGTTAGTTTTTTCAAATCAATTTCACTGTTTTATCCACAAACTCTTCTCCATTATCTTTGAATATTTAATCTTAAAGTCCCCGTCTCTTATGACTTCTCTACACAAGAACTTGGCAACATACTGAGCATCTTTTCGCTTGGTTAGACAAGCTTCAACTGTTACACTTTCAAAAATTGTTTTTTAGACAAATTGTACATCTACTGATGATAAATCAATTTGCTCACGCAAATGTGGTGTCCAGAAACCTACTCCTTTATGATGTTTCTTTTAACTTCCCCCCTTGCAACATGTGCTAACCCATGTGCCTCCTGAATCATTAATCTAAGAAGGTTTGGAGGTGCCACCATCAGCCCTTCATGATTCCTCCACAAACCTGTGGCATCCTGTGTTGCACCTCGGTCACGCCATAACTGTTTGTCTATTTCAGAGGCCGCTTTTTGCATTGAGACTGTCTTTGAGGGTGATTTTATCTTCCAAGTCTACTTCATGAGTGACCAGAAGAACTTTGCCTTCTTTATCTGCCCCTGGAACAGCTTTTGCAACCTCATCAGCTGCTCTGTTGCCCTGAGTCACTCTTGACATGTCCCCTTTATGTGCTGCACACTTAGCTATTGCTATTTCGTTCGGCTTCATCATTTCATGCAGCAATTTGGTTATCTGGGCATGATGCTGTATAGGAGACCCATGTGTTTTCTTAAATCCTCGATTTTTCCACAGTGCTCCGAACAAGTGACAAACATTATGTGCATATGCAGAGTCTGTGTAAATTGTCACTCGTTTCCCTTCTGCCAAAAGACATGCCTCAGTTAGTCCTACAAGTTCAACCAGCTGTGCAGATGCTGGTTGTTGCAATGTTTTTGCCTTTTCAACAACAAATCCATCCCCTTCAGCTTTTACAACTGCATAGCCAGCGCTCAATTTGTGTCCAATCTGATAACACGACCCATCAGTCCAATACTCTACATCTGCTTTCTGAAGTGGAAGGGCTTGCAAGTCTGACCGTAGTTTTGAATATCTCTCTGATTCCTTCAGTCACGTGAGGAATGCTTTCCTCGATGTCATGTTCTTTTTCAAGATATTCATTACTCTCTATCTTCATAGTTGCTCCTTGTGGCCCCAAATTATTGAACTGGAGCTAAGCTGGACTTGTTTTGGTTGTTGCTTCAACCAGTCTGCTGAGTTGGTCTGTGTAGCATCTTTAAAATACTTCAGTGTACAGTGGTATGGATACTCAGGTAACTTCACCTCAGTCATATTGGCCACAATAAATTTCTCCCACAGCTTTGCTGCCTCTAGATACTCCTGGCTAAGGTTCCCAATCCAAAACACTGCAGACACTTCAGTCTCTGTTTTCATAAATAGTTGTTGCCAACTATCACTTGGTACATCCACCAGACAGCCGTCTGGTGTGCATCGTATTGTGCACTTCAACCTACACAAAGCATCTCTGCCCAAAAGTGCAATAGGTGTTTGTTCTGACACTAGTATCGGTATTGTGGCCTTTTGATTTTTATAGCAGAGCTCAACGGGTTCTGTAAGAGGTATCAGCTGTTTCACACCCTCAAAACCTATTGTCCGTACCAATTGGCCAGACATGGGGAGATGTATAGCATCTTTGGGCCTAACACAGGTGAAAGCAGCTCCGCAATCTGCCATAACTGTCAATGGTTTATCATTCACTTTCACCTCAATGGTTGGCTCTTGTTCTGGCCCTGACACTACCAGCTGACACCTCCTTTTAGGTCTCCTGGGCACCCCTAAAATCCAGGTTCTGGCCCCCTATCAGGGTTTACAGGTCCTCTGGGTGGGCGCGATTGTCCCCTAGTGCTTCTCATGAAGCCTCCCCCGAGACCTAGAACTTATCAACACCCAAAAAAGATCAATCTGTGTGATTTTACCAAGCAGCAATGACAAACCACATCCACACGTTTCAGAAAAATTTAGACCTTTGGAAATGCTCTTTTAATTCAACAATACTACGGTACTTAATCAGCCCTTTCAACTGGTCAGTCTATTGCCAAGCCTTTCTTTTTACCAACAAAACTACTGCTCTTATTGTCTAGCACTAACAAATATATACACCCAACTAAATGTGTTCCCACTATAAATGTGTGTATGTACAACTAAGTAGCAGCAGACACATAGGAGAAGAGTTTGTAGACAAAACTGTACTGGCCTGTCAAATGGGAGCAGGACCTGGTGAGCCTCTCATCCGCAAGCCCTCTCTTGTTGCAGCACAGCCATTTATCTTCTTATCTGTCTCATGGGCGCTCCAACGTCAGACTCCTTTCATTCTCCTCTCCCCTCTCATGCATCAGAGTTAGGGACAAAGAACAAATCAAATGTTTAGTACATTACAATCACTTCATTCAATACAATTTAAAACGTTTACTACCACTATTTAAAGATTTCTTCTACCATAAGACTACCTAAATTTATTATACACCAATCCCCTTATCATGGTATATCATTTAAAATTTTCACGCAACTAGGATAGTTAAACTAGATTTTTTAGCTTTCTTTCTGTTCTCAGGCCTGTAAGAAGAGAAAGAAAGGGAGGAAAAGCTCCCTGGAGTTTTCCAATTTTTAACTAGGACTTCCCTCTAAACATGATCATCAGCAAGTGACCATTCACTTTAAATATTCACACACACACAGAGGAAAACCACACACCCATCAGTCAGCAAATCATTCCAATCTTTTACTCTGTTTTTTCCTGTATCTGTATGAACAAAAATGTGCTTGTGTACACTTCTTTAATTGTCATTTTAATCGAGGATGTTATCACCATCCAAAGTCCTCCTCATCTAATAAGGGGCTCATTTCTTACTATTAGGTGTACAAACGTCCTCTTTATCCTGAGAGGCTCATAGCAGTTACTTATTCTATTAACGTCCCTGTACAAAGAAAAACAGGGCTCATATGTTTTTTTTAGCACTACAAAGGCAACAGTATCTCTTCCCTTATATGTTAATTTCTTATATCATATCATTATATATTTAATAAGACATCATTTATCACTTTATCATAAGTTAATCACTTAAACCTATGCTAGATCATTCCCCAACTTTGTGTACACACCACTCACTGCACACAGACTCTTTTGCACTCACACTCACAGCTCAGCACCCATACACACACACACACACACACACACACACACACACACACACACACACACACACACACACACACACACACACACACACACACACACCAGAAGCTTCTCTCACACACTCAAATTTCAGCACACCTCTTCTCACTGAGCTCAGTGTTTCCTTACTATAGTACATAGGCCTTTTGTTCTTCTTTAAACTGTCCTTACCGGTTTGTATGCCCAATTGCGTCGTTCCTAACATAGAGTTAACTTTTTCTCTTTTTTGGCCATCTCAGCCTTTTTCTCTTTTTCACTTTGTCTCTTTTACTCTTTATCTCTTTTCATCATTTATTTGCCAATTACCCTGGGCTCCGGGTTTTACTCCTCACTTTTTCTTTCCACGCCCCGAATTCGACTATCCTTTTTGAGCTAGACGTTCACATTAGTCACTAATTTACACATTGTCTTACCGTTAAGAAGATATGGGCCCTGTCTTCGTTAATCTTGCACGGTTATTTAGCACACTCCCATTACTAGTCTCTGCTATTCTATTTTTGGCATCTCTTTTTCGTCTATTTTAACATCTTTTTTCTTCTCTACAACTTCTTTTCTTTTCTATTCTACCCAATGTTTCTACAATATGAACATTAAAGGAATATTTCAGTGCTTCTTAAGTGAGGCTTCATAAGTTACAAGTCATCGTGACGGTCATTTGTTGACATTAAACACTTCAGAGGTGTAGCATGAGATTTTTCCTCGGGTACGTTTCCCTCAGTAATAACTCACGTGACTGAAGGTGTACTCATACACCTGAGAGAATCTCTCCAGCAGCTCTGGTCTCTTAGTGTGACTGTAGGTCATCAGGTAGGCGATGAGAGCTTCACAGTGAGGCCACCACAGCTTCATGTTCCACTCCAACTGACCACAAAAACGAACACGCTGATTTCAGACATCATCTATACACCTCCAGTCTGGTCTAGACTTGTTTCCTTTCTGTAAAGGACAAATAATGTGGGCGACAAAAGAAGTTAACAAGTGAAGACAATTTTAAAATAATAATATTTACAGTGAAGTAATTTTGATCAAAAAAAAAAAAATATGGCATGGGAAAAACTTACGTTATTTTTTAAAGATGGCTTGTAAGGTATGCTGGCCCCTCAGCTGGTATCTGGTCTGGACTGGTTTTCTGTCTTCTCTGTACAAGACAAATCACATAAGAGGAAAAAGAAAAGTTATAACACCACTGAAGACTCCAACTGAAACAATTTTTACAGTGAAACAATTGTGATTGAAATTAAGGATAAAATATATTTATCTTTTTTTTTTAGTTAGTTTGCGATGTCGGCTGCCCCCTCAGCTCTTCTCTGGTCTGGACTCATCTGGTCTCCACTCTGTTCTCCAGTCTTGGTCTCTGGTCTAGTCTGGTTTCTGTCTTCTTCACTATATGACACACAAATAAATTCCAGAGTAAAAGTATAAGTAATTGTAATAGTAGAAGCATTACTTAACCTTAAATACTAACATTTGAATCCTACATTTAAAAATACATCCAGAAATATATTAGAATAATATATTAGAATAAAGTTAATGTATCTTTTTTTTTAAAGATGGTTTGCGATGCAGGCTGTCCCCTCAGCTCCCCTCTGGTCTGGTCTGTTATCATCTGGTCTGGTCTGGTCTCCTCCAGTCTGGTCTAGGCTTGTTTCCTTTCCATAAAAGACAAATAAATTTGGAGACAAAAAAATTAATAAAGAACTTCAGACACTTGTAGAATAATGAAACAGTTACCAATAAGAGCAGTTAAAATAAAATATATTTACCTTTTTTTTAAGATAGTTTGCGATGCAGGCTGTCCCCTCAGCTCCTCTCTGGTCTGGTCTGCTATCATCTGGTCCACTCTGGTCTCCTCCAGTTTGGTCTAGGCTTGTTTCATTTCTATAACAGACAAATAACTTGGAAAGAAAAAAAGGGAAGGTTAATTAAAATTTTCAGATACTTGTAGAATAATGTAACAGTTACCAGTAAATAAGGTGGAATTTAAAAAAAAAACTTACCTTTCTTTTGAAGATAGTTTGTGATGCAGGCTGCCCCCTCAGCTCCTCTCTGGTCTGGTCTGCTATCATCTGGTCTGGTTTCATCTCCTCTCTAAAATGAAATGAGAAATAAAATACAACATGAGTAAATTGACCACAGCTGTGAGCAGAACAGTTTTCTCTGTAAATCCAAAGATAAAAAAGTAAATTACTATTTTTTTGGTTCAATCATCTATGAATTAAAAGTGAACATTAACAGACTGGGTTAATAAATCTGGTTATGCAATATTTCTATTGCCAAGCCTTTCTTTTTACCAACAAAACTACTGCTCTTATTGTCTAGCACTAACAAATATATACACCCAACTAAATGTGTTCCCACTATTAATGTGTGTATGTACAACTAAGTAGCAGCAGACACATAGGAGAAGAGTTTGTAGACAAAACTGTACTGGCCTGTCAAATGGGAGCAGGACCTGGTGAGCCTCTCATCCGCAAGCCCCCTCTTGTTTGCAGCACAGCCATTTATCTTCTTATCTGTCTCATGGGCGCTCCAACGTCAGACTCCTTTCATTCTCCTCTCCCCTCTCATGCATCAGAGTTAGGGACAAAGAACAGGGACACACACACACACACACACACACACACACACACTGAGCTCAGTGTTTCCTTACTATAGTATATAGGCCTTTTTTTCTTCTTTAAACTGTCCTCACCGGTTTGTATGCCCAATCGCGTTGTCCATAACATAGAGTTAACTTTTTCTCTTTTTCGGCCATCTCAGCCTTTTTCTTCTCTATTCCTGGGCCATCTCAGCCTTTTTCTCTTTTTCACTTTGTCTCTTTTACTCTTTATCTCTTTTCATCATTTATTTGCCAATTACCCTGGGCTCCGGGTTTTACTCCTCACTTTTTCTTTCCACGCCCCGAATTCGACTATCCTTTTTGAGATAGACGTTCACAATAGTCACTAATTTACACATTGTCTTACCGTTAAGAAGATATGGGCCCTGTCTTCGTTAATCTTGCGCGGTTATTTAGCACACTCCCATTACTAGTCTCTGCTATTCTATTTTTGGCATCTCTTTTTCGTCTATTTTAACATCTTTTTTCTTCTCTACAACTTCTTTTCTTTTCTATTCTACCCAATGTTTCTACAATATGAACATTAAAGGAATATTTCAGTGCTTCTTAAGTGAGGCTTCATAAGTTACAAGTCATCGTGACGGTCATTTGTTGACATTAAACACTTCAGAGGTGTAGCATGAGATTTTTCCTCGGGTACGTTTCCCTCAGTAATAACTCACGTGACTGAAGGTGTACTCATACACCTGAGAGAATCTCTCCAGCAGCTCTGGTCTCATAGTGTGACTGTAGGTCATCAGGTAGGCGATGAGAGCTTCACAGTGAGGCCACCACAGCTTCATGTTCCACTCCAACTGACCACAAAAACGAACACGCTGATTTCAGACATTATCTATACACCTCCAGTCTGGTCTAGACTTGTTTCCTTTCTGTAAAGGACAAATAATGTGGGCGACAAAAAAGTTAACAAGTGAAGACAATTTTGAAATAATAATATTTACAGTGAAGTAATTTTGATCAAAACAAAAAAAAAAAAGGCATGGTAAAAACTTACGTTATTTTTTAAAGATGGCTTGTAAGGTATGCTGCCCCCTCAGCTGGTATCTGGTCTGGACTGCTTTTCTGTCTTCTCTGTACAAGACAAATCACATAAGAGGAAAAAGAAAAGTTATAACACCACTGAAGACTCCGACTGAAACAATTTTACAGTGAAACAATTGTGATTTAAATGAAGGATAAAATATATTTATTTTTTTTTTTAGTTAGTTTGCAATGTCGGCTGCCCCCTCAGCTCTTCTCTGGTCTGGACTCATCTGGTCTCCACTCTGTTCTCCAGTCTTGGTCTCTGGTCTAGTCTGGTTTCTGTCTTCTCCACTATATGACACACAAATAAATTCCAGAGTAAAAGTGTAAGTAATTGTAATAGTAGAAGCATTACTTAACCTTAAATACTAACATTTGAATCCTACATTTAAAAATACATCCAGAAATGAATTAGAATAATATATTAGAATAAAGTTAATGTATCTTTTTATTAAAGATGGTTTGCGATGCAGGCTGTCCCCTCAGCTCCCCTCTGGTCTGGTCTGTTATCATCTGGTCTGGTCTGGTCTCCTCCAGTCTGGTCTAGGCTTGTTTCCTTTCCATAAAAGACAAATACATTTGGAGACAAAAAAATTAATAAAGAACTTCAGACACTTGTAGAATAATGAAACAGTTACCAATAAGAGCAGGTGGAATAAAATATATGTACCTTTTTTTTAAGATAGTTTGCGATGCAGGCTGTCCCCTCAGCTCCTCTCTGGTCTGGTCTGCTATCATCTGGTCCACTCTGGTCTCCTCCAGTTTGGTCTAGGCTTGTTTCATTTCTATAACAGACAAATAACTTGGAAAGAAAAAAAGGGAAGATTAATTAAAATTTTCAGATACTTGTAAAATAATGTAACAGTTACCAGGTAATAAGGTGGAATTTCAAAAAAAAACTTACCTTTCTTTTGAAGCTAGTTTGTGATGCAGGCTGCCCCCTCAGCTCCTCTCTGGTCTGGTCTGCTATCATCTGGTCTGGTTTCATCTCCTCTCTAAAATGAAATGAGAAATAAAATACAACATGAGTAAATTGACCACAGCTGTGAGCAGAACAGTTTTCTCAGTAAATCCAAAGATAAAAAAGTAAATTACTATTTTTTTGGTTCAATCATCTATGAATTAAAAGTGAACATTAACAGACTGGGTTAATAAATCTGGTTATGCAATATTTCTATTGCCAAGCCTTTCTTTTTACCAACAAAACTACTGCTCTTATTGTCTAGCACTAACAAATATATACACCCAACTAAATGTGTTCCCACTATTAATGTGTGTATGTACAACTAAGTAGCAGCAGACACATAGGAGAAGAGTTTGTAGACAAAACTGTACTGGCCTGTCAAATGGGAGCAGGACCTGGTGAGCCTCTCATCCGCAAGCCCCCTCTTGTTTGAAGCACAGCCATTTATCTTCTTATCTGTCTCATGGGAGCTCCAACGTCAGACTCCTTTCATTCTCCTCTCCCCTCTCATGCATCAGAGTTAGGGACAAAGAACAAATCAAATGTTTAGTACATTACAATCACTTCATTCAATACAATTTAAAATGTTTACTACCACTATTTAAAGATTTCTTCTACCATAAGACTACCTAAATTTATTATACACCATTCCCCTGATCATGGTATACCATTTAAAATTTTCACACATCTAGGATAGTTAAACTAGATTTTTTAGCTTTCTTTCTGTTCTCAGGCCTGTAAGAAGAGAAAGAAAGAGGGAGGAAAAGCTCCCTGGAGTTTTCCAATTTTTAACTAGGACTTCCCTCTAAACATGATCATCAGCAAGTGACCATTCACTTTAAATATTCACACACACACAGAGGAAAACCACACCCATCAGTCAGCAAATCATTCCAATCTTTCACTCTGTTTTTTTCTGTATCTGTATGAACAAAAATGTGCTTGTGTACACTTCTTTAATTGTCATTTTAATCGAGGATGTTATCACCATCCAAAGTCCTCCTCATCTAATAAGGGGCTCATTTCTTACTATTAGGTGTACAAACGTCCTCTTTATCCTGAGAGGCTCATAGCAGTTGATTATTCTATTAACGTCCCTGTACAAAGAAACCAGGGCTCATATGTTTTTTTTAGCACTACAAAGGCAACAGTATCTCTTCCCTTATATGTTAATTTCTTATATCATATCATTATATATTTAATAAGACATCATTTATCACTTTATCATAAGTTAATCACTTAAACCTATGCTAGATCATTCCCCAACTTTGTGTACACACCACTCACTGCACACAGACTCTTTTGCACTCACACTCACAGCTCAGCACCCATACACACACTCCTCTCTCTCACACACACACACACTGAGCTCAATGTTTCCTTACTATAGTATATAGGCCTTTTGTTCTTCTTTAAACTGTCCTCACCGGTTTGTATGCCCAATCGCGTCGTCCCTAACATAGAGTTAACTTTTTCTCTTTTTTGGCCATCTCAGCCTTTTTCTCTTTTTCACTTTGTCTCTTTTACTCTTTATCTCTTTTCATCATTTATTTGCCAATTACCCTGGGCTCCGGGTTTTACTCCTCACTTTTTCTTTCCACGCCCCGAATTCGACTATCCTTTTTGAGCTAGACGTTCACATTAGTCACTAATTTACACATTGTCTTACCGTTAAGAAGATATGGGCCCTGTCTTCGTTAATCTTGCACGGTTATTTAGCACACTCCCATTACTAGTCTCTGCTATTCTATTTTTGGCATCTCTTTTTCGTCTATTTTAACATCTTTTTTCTTCTCTACAACTTCTTTTCTTTTCTATTCTACCCAATGTTTCTACAATATGAACATTAAAGGAATATTTCAGTGCTTCTTAAGTGAGGCTTCATAAGTTACAAGTCATCGTGACGGTCATTTGTTGACATTAAACACTTCAGAGGTGGAGCATGAGATTTTTCCTCGGGTACGTTTCCCTCAGTAATAACTCACGTGACTGAAGGTGTACTCATACACTTGAGAGAATCTCTCCAGCAGCTCTGGTCTCTTAGTGTGACTGTAGGTCATCAGGTAGGCGATGAGAGCTTCACAGTGAGGCCACCACAGCTTCATGTTCCACTCCAATTGACCACAAAAACGAACACGCTGGTTTCAGACATCATGACAATACACCTCCAGTCTGGTCTCGACTTGTTTCCTTTCTGTAAAGGACAAATAATGTGGGCGACAAAAAAGTTAACAAGTGAAGACAATTTTGAAATAATAATATTTACAGTGAAGTAATTTTGATCAAAACAAAAAAAAATATGGCATGGGAAAAACTTACGTTATTTTTTAAAGATGGCTTGTAAGGTATGCTGCCCCCTCAGCTGGTATCTGGTCTGGACTGGTTTTCTGTCTTCTCTGTACAAGACAAATCACATAAGAGGAAAAAGAAAAGTTATAACACCACTGAAGACTCCGACTGAAACAATTTTACAGTGAAACAATTATGATTTAAATGAAGGATAAAATATATTTATCTTTTTTTTTTAGTTAGTTTGCGATGTCGGCTGTCCCCTCAGCTCTTCTCTGGTCTGGTCTGCTATCATCTGGTCTGGTCTGGTCTGGTCTCCTCCAGTCTGGTCTAGGCTTGTTTCCTTTCCATAAAAGACAAATAAATTTGGAGACAAAAAAATTAATAAAGAACTTCAGACACTTGTAGAATAATGAAACAGTTACCAATAAGAGCAGTTAAAATAAAATATATGTACCTTTTTTTTAAGATAGTTTGCGATGCAGGCTGTCCCCTCAGCTCCTCTCTGGTCTGGTCTGCTATCATCTGGTCTGGTTTCATCTCCTCTCTGAAAACAAATGAAAAATAAAATACAACATGAGTAAATTGACCACAGCGGTGAGCAGAACAGTTTTCTCAGTAAATCCAAAGATAAAAAAGTAAATTACTATTATTTTGGCTCAAAGTTCTCGCTGTCTCCTCTGGCCATCTCTGATCTGGACTCATTTTCTCTTCCCTGATGAAAACAAATTAAAGATAAATTAGGACAACAGTAAAGACCTTCAACAACCAGGGGAATCATTTGAACATTTCAGACTTTTGATGATAAGAATAATAAAAGTTGTATGTTTTACCTTGGTGTCATGATGGTGCAGAAGTTAGCACTGGTGCCTCACAGCATGAAGGTTCTTGGTCTGAATCCTGGGCTGGACAGGGACTTTTCTGTGCCCTGTCTGTATGTTCTCCCTGTACGTGCATGGGTTTGCTGTGGGTGGTCTGGTTCCTCCTAAGACTTGACATAGTTGGCTCTGGGTCCTTTGCTGCTCACAGGACTGTTTTCTGTTTTCCTCTGTGACTGGCTGTCCCTCCTTCTTCACCCCCTGACTTCAGTCCTCATCTGGACATTTCTGCCAGGTCTCCTCTTCTTTAGATGTTCTTAGTTCAGCCTCTTTTGAACTAGGCTTGCTGCGTGTTTTCTGAAATCAAATTTAGGACATATAAGTTTAAAAATTAGAGAATTTAATTCTTCTCATGCACAACAGAGCAAACTGCACAAGTGTGGCATATTTCACTACATATCCTGTATCTAAAAGCTTTATGTCATACCTGCCAAGTCACCTCTTTGTCCTCTGCCAACCACTCAGTCCTCATATTTTTCAGAAAGACTTTTCAAGGACCCGTAGAAACTCTGTGAGTGGTGTTGTGATCTTCTGGAGCTCGTTGTTCAGCCTCTGTCCCTGCCACAGTGTCCACAATGCTGCCCAAGTATGTGGACTTTTACACCTGCTCTGGGGACTTGTCCTTTATGGGTTGCTGGATTTGGAGATTATCTTCATGACCTGCGTCTTTGCTGTACAGGGAGCCAGACCAAGTTTTGATGCAGCCTGACACATAAAGAACAAAGAAGAGAATCAATATATGGGTAATAGTTTTATCTGTGTTTTGATATGAGAGTGAAGGTGTCCTCTTGTCCATTCTTCTCTTGCTGATGAGGGACAATAACAGCTTATATGTTGACTTTTCTCACACTCAAAATGAACTTTACAAGTTTCCCTCCACAATCAACACAATTTACGAACATATAAATGTAAGAAAATGAGATACACTATAATATGATATCACTGTAAGATTTTCTACTCACCATATTTTTCTTTGTAGTCGTGGTTTCCTGCAAAGTTGATGGTAAGAATGACTCCACTCTGAAGAAAACTGTCCCGTCTTTTAGTCCATCCACAGCTGAGTTTGTTTCTTTCTTCATTGCTGCCATTTTCCTCTTATTGTCTGTTTTTTTCTGCTTGTTTGGCCTCTTGTCAGTTGTTGCTCCAGTGGTTTTCTTGGGTTCTTTGTTGGTTGGGAAACAGTTTCTATTTTCTGTCTTTTCAGCCAGCATGTTGTCTTCAAATTTGCTCCATCCCTCCTTTCAGGTTCTGCCATCAGGTAGACTGTACAAAGTGCCACTGGCCCAGAATTTAAACATCATCATGAAATCCTTCCTTGTTTCTGTGGGAATGGCCCTAAATAATTTGGCGTAGATGCTGCTGGTTTTTATCCATTGCTGTTTTTGACAGTCCTTGTTGTGGGTTTTTCTGTACCCTGTGATTTTCAATGTGAGAGTGCCCTGGTCTGGTTTCCTCTCCTCTCTAAAATGAAATGAAAAATAAAATACAACATGAGTAAATTGACCACAGCAGTGAGCAGAACAGTTTTCTCAGTAAATCCAAAGATAAAAAAGTAAATTACTATTTTTTTGGTTCAAAGTGCTCGCTGTCTCCTCTGGCCATCTCTGATCTGGACTCATTTTCTCTTCCCTGATGAAAACAAATTAAAGATAAATTAAGACAACAGTAAAGACCTTCAACAACCAGGGGAATCATTTGAACATTTCAGACTTTTGATGATTAGAATAATAAAAGTTGTATGTTTTACCTTGGTGTCATGATGGTGCAGAAGTTAGCACTGGTGCCTCACAGCATGAAGGTTCCTGGTCTGAATCCTGGGCTGGACAGGGACTTTTCTGTGCCCTGTCTGTATGTTCTCCCTGTACGTGCATGGGTTTGCTGTGGGTGTTCTGGTTCCTCCTAAGACTTGACATAGTTGGCTCTGGGTCCTTTGCTGCTCACAGGACTGTTTTCTGTTTTCCTCTGTGACTGGCTGTCCCTCCTTCTTCACCCCCTGACTTCAGTCCTCATCTGGACATTTCTGCCAGGTCTCCTCTTCTTTAGATGTTCTTAGTTCAGCCTCTTTTGAACTAGGCATGCTGCGTGTTTTCTGAAATCAAATTTAGGACATATAAGTTTAAAAATTAGAGAATTTAATTCTTCTCATGTACAACAGAGCAAACTGCACAAGTGTGGCATATTTCACTACATATCCTGTATCTAAAAGCTTTATGTCATACCTGCCAAGTCACCTCTTTGTCCTCTGCCAACCACTCATTCCTCATATTTTTTAGAAAGACTTTTCAAGGACCCGTGGAAACTCTGTGAGTGGTGTTGTGATCTTCTGGAGCTCGTTGTTCAGCCTCTGTCCCTGCCACAGTGTCCACAACACTGCCCAAGTATGTGGACTTTTACACCTGCTCGGGGGACTTGTCCTTTATGGGTTGCTGGATTTGGAGATTATCTTCATGACCTGCGTCTTTGCTGTGCAGGGAGCCAGACCAAGTTTTGATGCAGCCTGACACATAAAGAACAAAGAAGAGAATCAATATATGGGTAATAATTTGATCTGTTTTGATATGAGAGTGAAGGTGTCCTCTTGTCCATTCTTCTCTTGCTGATGAGGGACAATAACAGCTTATGTGTTGACTTTTCTCACACTCAAAATGAACTTTACAAGTTTCCCTCCACAATCAACACAATTTACTAACATATAAATGTAAGAAAATGAGATACACTATAATATGATATCACTGTAAGATTTTCTACTCACCATATTTTTCTTTGTAGTCGTGGTTTCGTGCAAAGTTGATGGTAAGAATGACTCCATTCTGAAGAAAACTGTCCCGTCTTTTAGTCCATCCACAGCTGAGTTTGTTTCTTTCTTCACTGCTGCCATTTTCCTCTTACTGTCTGTTTTTTTCTGCTTGTTTGGCCTCTTGTCAGTTGTTGCTCCAGTGGTTTTCTTGGGTTCCTTGTTGGTTGGGTAACAGTTTCTAATTTCTGTCTTTTCAGCCAGCATGTTGTCTTCAAATTTGCTCCATCCCTCCTTTCAGGTGCTTGTGAGTTGTCTGTATCCGTTGCTTGTCAATGTGAGAGTCTGTCTTTTTTAGAGTGTGCCTTGTCAGAGGAGATTCCCTGCCACTTTGGGGTCAGCCATTAGAGTGTTTCTGTCTCTGTGTTGTTGCAGAGAGCTCGTCTCTGAGAAGTGAGTCCAAGAGCTTCTGCAGGTTCACCGTGTCCCACACACAGGCGGCTCCAAGAAAGAAAGAAAAGTGCAAGACGCACAAAAAAACACACCGACCTGTGGGCTTCATCCACGGTGACTTAACAATCTATCTTCAATATTTACAAGTCCACAGGGAGCCCAGGTGCAAGACGCTACCAGGGGCTCCAGAGGCCCCGCCAGACGCAAGGGCCGACTGTGACACAGACACAGTCACACTCTGATTGGTCTTCTCTTTGGCTGAGGCTGGCAGCTGCCCTCCCCGTCCTGGTCCTCCTCTTCATGGCCCCTCTTCCTCTTCTTTGGTCTCTCAACACAGCGGGTGGACGCGGCTGTGAAGCGACAGAGGACGGACATCAGGCACTGTCCGTTTTCTGAATAGTCAGTGACCCTCCAGCGGTTGGTGACGACAGACTGATGAGAATCAAAGACGGTGGAGATCACTCTTTTTGTCTTCCTCCCGTCTACCATCAGGGAATGAACTCGGGTCCAGGGGTCACCCAGAGTCCTCAGCTCCACCCTCTCAGGAAGGGGTTGGTTCATCAGGGTGGTGCGGGAAGTATAACCTGCCAGTGGCACCATCATTCCTGGTGGAGCTGCCTGTGAGGGGTGTGTGGAGTTCTCCTTGTCCTCCTCCCTCCTAAACGGTGCAGATTCCTGCCTGAAGAAAGTGGGTCCTCTGAAGTGGATCACAGGGAAGTCCCCAGAGCCTGTGATGAGGTTGTGATACAGGCTCATCACGGTTTCTTTCAAGGACACCACTCTAACTCTCTCCACGGGACGATTCCTCAGGTTGGTGACATACATCTGAAGGGTTCCTCGTGGCACAGGCAGAAACTCTGGACAGAAAGAGGAGAAGAGAAAAACATGAAACAAACGCTCAGGATGACAATGACAGGACTTCTTAAAGACCAGAAAAATAAGCCAGAGTAGCTGCTGGACTCTGATTTCAAAATTCAAATGATTGAAGACAGAAGAACACAAAGACTCTGATACTGAAAGATGATTCAAGTTCATCAAGTTCAAGTGTCAGTAATACATGAAACACTTATTCACCAAACACTGAAACCACATTCAAAGATGTCAATGCTACTTTCACAGTGAAAATAAAGTTTGACTGGATTTTTGTTTTAACTGTCATTTAATATGATGAAAGTTGCTCAAACCTTTTGAACTGACTTTACTGACGAGTGCAAGTCACATTTTAAAATCTAAATGTACCAAAGACTGTGGAGATGATGGTCCAGTTTAAGACTGTGTTGCTTCATGACAGTCAATTCGACAAGCTAATCTATGTCATTTTTATCATACAATAAACATGTTATATACAACCATTACAGAGTGACCATAATAACATTTTAACAGCTTGTAACAATATTATGTTTAGTTTTACTAAACAAATATGCCAACATTTGAGTCTGAAAATCCTTCAATTGTGTTCAATGAAAAAATTATTGTGATGAGGATTCTTCATTATTCGAAAAGTGAATTTCTTTGTAATTAATTTCTTACATTTTGGAGATTTATAAATCTATTGGATAAGTGTTGTGTGACCTTAATATAACGCTATTTCCTTGATATTATTTGTGATACAACATTTCTATGGTAAAAGGCGTGCTTGTTCCCAGTTGACATGAATGAAAACGCTATTTCAGAAAGATTTCCTCTCAGGTTTAATTCTCTTTCGTTCACACAAGATACTACCAATGAGTCTGTTGTGGCATTTCTTGTTCATTATCGCAGTTAAATGTTCATTAGGTGAGTTAAAGCCTCGGGAACTGCCCTCATTACAGAGTTGAATTATTTGCTGGTTAATGATTTGTAATGAAGGAATCGTTCATATGTAGATGAACAGCCATGATAACTCTGTCATTCACACTCACAGCAGGCCCGGGCTCTGACGTCAGACGTATGTCTCCTATAGGCGTAATATTTGACGTCGTCTCCATGGCGCGGGAGAAACATACAACTTTTAGCATTTTTTTAAACGATGGAATGATAATGGAACCGGCGCCATCTTTGCCCATTACTTTCAATGTTAAAACATTTCAACCAAGTAAAAAACAATTTTTGCTCAAACACTAATATTCATATTTTTACTCATGTTACTCCTATTACTGTCGGTGCACATTACATTTATCAATATTTAAAGACCATATAAGTCGAAAAACATGAATCTATTACTGTCAAAAAATAGGCCTATTACATTAAACATTTGATTAAAATTGACATATTTTCTGCACAAATTATGAGAAAATTCGATGTTTTAAACTGATAAATATCCAAATCTATATTATTCAAGACTTTCCCCAGAGTTTAATGTCATAAAAGACAGAGAAAAAGATGTTTTGTAAAGTTTTACCATAGTCATCGGGCAGTCGGATGATGCAGATGGAGAGAAGGAACTTCTCTCTGCCAGATGCGAGTAAAGCCATAACTTGTCCTCTAATACTGCAGTCCGAAAGTAACTTCTAGGTGTTAGTTGAAGCTCTTTTCGTCGTTCAAAGTTGATAGTTGCCAATAAATCGATCTCGTCCAACAGATGAAAGTTTTCACGTGCGGATTTGAGCGCTCTGGTTTGGAACTGAATTTGAATTTTAGGAACATCTGCTTAAAACAACAGACGTCATCATCATCTTCATCACCATGGTGAAGACCAGCGTGTGAACAATAATAGATTTAAAATAACACAATTTTACCACAATACAAAAAATATACTGCAGTTAAACTAATGTGAAGTAATTCCAGGCTATATAAATTACATCAAATAAAAAAGGTATACAGGCCACCACACAAAAATAGTTTATGAGAAGTCTCAGAGATGTCTTCAAAATGTTTTTCTCCACAAGGAGACCTTCTCAAAAGGATCAATAAAGTTCAATCTAATCTAATCTAATCTACAAACTGGACTAAATGAAAACCATATAAACTGTGATTATCTAGCATGGCTCATCTTTGACTATTTTTGGCTTCCAAACTGTTTTCCCTCTTTTATTGTGTTTTTGCTGCCAATACAATAAATAGTAGCCTTGCAAAAAGGCTCATTACCTTTGTAAAAATATGTGGCCTAAAAACTGTGAACTACAAATATTGAAGCTTTTTATGATTTTATTGTTTCTTTTATTATTCTGTTGTTGTATTGAGTGGGGGTACATTTTTAGATACACATGTGGTGGACCAAATGCCCGTATTGATTTTTTGTAGGCTATCCTGCATGTACAGCCAGGCGAAAAAAATATTCGTTTGTGCGTCTATATTTATTAAATAAATGATATTCCGTATCTAAAATTTATTTTAAGATGAGGATCACTTTTCACCGCTTCCCCTGATTTTCTTTTTCTTCAGGTTATTACTCCTTTGTCGGTTTTGTGTCTTGGGTAAAGCGCAGTGCATGAAACTTAGTGCGTCCGCCTCGGCCCGCAGACAGCCAGCTCCGCATAGTTTAACATTTGTACATTACACAAACATAAAGGCTGATAACTCAGAGGTCTTTGTGATCCTTGGAATTAATAAACTGGAGATCATTTCTTTAGTGTGGATTTTTACTGAAATGACGCCTCAGTATCTGTTTTAATTTGACGCACAGCATATCTGAGGGTTTGACTTTGTGAAACAAGAATGAGACACTTTTTCTGTGTGTAGAAACAGAGAATGTCTTGAATAAAAATACTTCTCAGCTAACTTAGACAAATAATATCTATACACAATGAAGCCTTAGATACAAGTCCATTGATAACTGAACACTTTTGGGGGGAGAGAGAGAGAGAGAGAGAGAGAGAGAGAGAGAGAGGCAGCAACTCATGATGAATAGAGAAGAGCCTGAGAAACAAAACAATAAAAATCTGTGTGAAAAAAGTATTTAGAGAATGAAGAAATGTAGTAAAATAATGGTCACATAAGCACTTAATCATCTATGAATTAAAATTGAACATTCACAGACTGAGTTAATAAATCTGGTTATTTAATATTTCTAAAAAAAACTTCATAAATGCAATAAATTTAAAATCTCATCAAAAAGCATGTATTTTATTGGATTAATTTTTATTGGCTGACTGATCTAAACATCAGATTAATGATGGTTGTTTTCATGGTTGTTTCTGTTACAGGTTTCACAGCTAAGTTTTACAGTAACAAATGATTTTCGGCTCAGTGCCTCTAAATCTGAAAAACACAGTCGAAAAGTTCAGAAGATGGAGACCAGATCCACTCATTTTCCTTCCCAGATTTGCTCTTTATCACTGAACCAAAAACACACATAAAACAATATCAAACTTTCCTCTATGCAAGAATATCTCTGTTTGAATGTCCACAGTGAGAGTGTCCATATGTTTCTTTAATAAAGTCTACTTCATACGGTTTCTCCCCTTTTTAACATTAATTAAATACTCATTTTAAAGGCAGAATGCAGCTTTTCAAACGTTCATACTGAGTTGTAGACAATTTAGTCCAGGTCTAATTCAATCAGACAAGGCACTAATATAAATTAACAGGATGTTCGAAAACAGTGAACCTGCCCTTTAAAACTTTTACTGCGATATAAGACAGCTTTTATCAAAAATATCAAACATCCTGTATAGGAAATATTCCTTAATCTAAGCAACAGTCGCGTTTTAATCCACAAGATTTAGGAACAATATTTTTCACTTCAACAAAATACCTCAATCACCTTACTTCTGTATAAACATCTTTTTGTTCACATTAAAACAGGCAAAACTAAATTTACATGTCAAGTGTTCAGGGTTCTCGCTTTAAATAAAGTGCTTGGAGATGCACACCTTCATGCTAACACTGAACTCAACTATCGGAGGATGTTCGTGTTTTAAGCTGCACAGGTTGTAGGATGATCGCGTCCCACACCGAGAGGCGGCGCTATTTCGAGCTCTTTCTAAGTCCATATAACTCGCTCAAGTCACTTCAAACTCTCGCTATGTTTAGTTTGACATTGTTTAGATGTTAGGGTATAACATTGTGGATTTCGCAGTGTACAAACCTGAAAAACACAGCAGAAAAGTTCAGAAGATGGAGACCCGAGTCATTCATTTTCCCTCCCGAGTTTGCTCTGAGGAGGGGGCGGTCCCTCCAGAAAGTCATCCGGGCACGACGCACCCTGGCTCATTAATTCCCCTCTCCATTCTCCTCATGAACTAAAGTTCCTTCACACCTCAAATGTGCGTAAAGAACACTTAGTTGTTTAGTAAGTATTGAAAATGTCTTAACATTTAATGTGTACCACACTTCCTTTTCAAATTCAGGAGCAGACACCAGTGTCTCCTCTGATCATCATTGGTTCCTGTTCTGGTCCCATCTGGTTTAGACAAGACCCTTTAGCTTAGTTCTATCAAACCGCCTATGAATATTTTTTTAAAAGGAGGCTACAAAAGCCTTAAATTTCATCTGGACAACAAATCAAACTATTTTTTCAGTTCTCCAATGACTTAGGAATATATCAGAATGATTTAGGGGGGCAGAGCAGTCAACAAGTAGTCCACAAGCCCCATAATAGCAAACAAGCACTAGACGAAATTCAGGTATTTCTACTACAGGACTCCATAGATAAATGCATGATAACCATCACTAAGCTACCAGTCTGCAATGGTTGTCATGCCAAACCATAAACTAGGGATGTGGAGCAATTCAAAAAAACAAACTATTAATTGCCCACTTGATTTATTGCGATGGGTCAATTTTGGAGTCTTAGCTCATAGACTATAAGTGGTTGTCCTGGTATTTATTGCACCTTGACGCACAAGTCCTCGTTAGTATAGTGGACAGTATCTCCGCCTGTCACGCGGAAGACCGGGGTTCGATTCCCCGACGGGGAGAATATACCTTTGCTCCAGCAACAGATTTTAAGGCCACAAAGGGGTAATACAAAACAAAAAAAAAAGTCACAAAATGTTAGAAATGAACCATCTAGATACTCGTCCGTTGAGAAAGTGTTAAAAAATTGCCCTCTCCAAACTACTCCGGTATATAAATGTTTAAAAAAGGCCCTAAAATTCTACTCTAGTGGATGAAGTAATAGGAGAGGACCCTCTGGATGCTCTTCAGCTGGATTCACTGATAAAAACGGGCCCTGCTCCTAAAACAGCTGAGTACTATGGAAATGTTCACTGTAATGTGAATTATGAGAAAAAAAGCAGGATGATATTTGAACTTGATCATGAAGTGAAATTCTCAGTTTCAAGTCAATTTATCTCAAAGTAGGTTGATAAAAGTCTGTTTCCATCAGTGTTGACACGGTCAAATCAGAGGGACTGTTTCTTATAGCCGTACAAATAAAGAGACTTTAAATCAATCAAATCCTTCAATATTAAACCAACACTTTATGTTGACTTCTTCATGTTTCAAGATGGCAGTCAGATAATAAGGGGGATGATGTTTGGTAAAACGGTGAGATCAAACCCCTCCAACTGGTGGACAGTGAGTCTCCTGCTGAAGGTTCAACTGTAAGGGAGAGGAGGAGCCGCCTAAAATGGTTCAGAAAATTCTGCAGCCGAGCCCTCAGGACCATGTTTGGACTGAGGAGGAGAAATTAAAATACTGAAGACTCAAAGGTCACTTTGAGTTCCTGCAATAAAAAAAAAAAAACTCAAAGAAACTTGTTATAACAGTTACTTTCTCTTTAAACCTTAGAAGCTCAGAGTCATAATCTTGAACCTGTCTGCACACATTCAGTGACACGAGGGGAACACTGGAACAAAAGCTTGTGTTTTGATCACGGTTTGTTTTTACTGTCTCTGAATGTTTTTCATATTTTCTATTTCTAACACTCTTTGGTGATGATATGGACCCATGGGTCTGCAGTAAAGTATAACGTTCAGTAATTCAGACCATAAAAATACAACCATAGGTGAGCCCACTTATCAAAGTGTAATCCAGGGAGATCTTTAGTACAGTTTTTGGTCTTTGAAATGATAAGAAATATACATGTGTCCTTTACAAATGAAAACAACATCCTAAAGCATTGTTTTTTAAATGTCCAAAAGCTGAAGACACCCAGTTTACAGACATGGAGGATCCCAGAAAATATTCAAATTTGAGAAGCTCAAATCAGTCCACTTCACTTAAAGTAGTAATTGGTTAATTTAGGGGTTTGCAATCTAAGAATTAAAGGGAAAATGACAGAAATAACACTAAAAAATTTCCAACTTTAAAACCTCTCTGTTTAGTTAAGGGGATATTTCAGCCACGTGTTTGTGAGACGCCTTTCCAATGCAACAACAAACAGGACCCTAATAACAAAACACACCAGCACTGCAGGGATCCAGCTGTCAGCACAAAACTGCAGCTGTTCAATACTGCTGTCATTCAACAGTTCAGTTTGGTTGTTGGTGATAAAGAAACAAATGAATGTTTAAACTGATGAATCAGACAATCAATGATAAGGATCAATATTTATGTAAAGGTATTTGTAATGTCTAAAACTGCAGACAGGAGGTCAGTTTCGGTTAAATTTGATCGACCTCATGACGGAAAAATAAACACTTACCTCTTTTTTCTTGACAAAGTTAATAAAACGTTGATATATTTGAGTTTTGAAATGGAGCAGGGTGAAATTTTTGTTTAAAAAACACAACTAACACATGAGCAGGAAGAAACGGCAAGATTAGAGGTATCATTTCTTCCACATGGGGGCGCTAACATCATGACTGAAGCTTCAAACAAAGCTGATTGAAATCCAAAACAACATGAGGTGTGCTGCTGAACTCTGACCACCAGAGGGCGCTAATGTTACGCTCCTAAAAGCTCATTATGAACAGGATCCAAACATAAAAAAACTGGTAAATGATGGTGTTTTTAATAGTAGATAAATAATAACAACGTGAGTTGGGTGATTTCCAGCTAATCCTAAAGATCATATTTACATATTTAGAGACTGCTGTGACAGAGGAATGACTTCTTCATTAATATCTGTGGTATTTTTACTGCTTAAGTGAAGGCACGTGGGGTTCAATGAATCATTCAAGAGGAGAGTTTCCTAATTGTATACTTTTCAGATATATAATCCAAATCATCCTGTTTGAATATTATGTGTCATGTGGTCATATAGGCATATATGACCATTTAGTTTTCTTGTTTGTTCAGATCATTTTCAACCAATCAATCAATCAATCATAAACATTTGATAACACAGACAAAAGATGGTGTAAAATTACTGCTTTACTTTTAATTGTTTGAAATCATTCCACTGTAATTATTTGTACAGCTGCGTTTTGTGAAATATACAACAATATGAGGACGATACAACACCGGTCAGAGTGAAAATAAAAAAGGTGAAGAAAAATGTTTCTGTCAGGAAACAGGAGGAAATGATGTTTCAACACTGAACAGGTGATCATGACATTGAAGCACCTGAGAGGGAAAGTGAGGAAGACTTCAGGATATAAAATCAGAGGAAGAATTAAAGTGAGGCTGTTTGGTCTCTTTAAAAAATGCCTGAATTAACCACAACACCTGAGAAATGATCAGCTTTGATTCACTCAGTCATGGAAACATTGGAGAAACTTCAGCTCTATACTTTCATGATACAAGGGTTAAAGAATTTAACAGGCAAAGATATGTGCTTTTATTTTGAAAGTACTTGAAGCAGACATAGCTGAGATTGATCATTTTTTATTTCTTTTAATTCTTTCTATGAAATAAAAATAAGTTTGGTGTCTGTAAAACCTACATCCAGACTTTATTTGCAGCAGAATGCACCTAAAGATCCTCTGAGTTTGTTGAAGTTCTATGTTTGATGTTAAAAGTTATTTTGCCAGATATTTGATAAATTTTGATATTTTCACAGTGCTTAAGTACGGTGGCCATAAATGTTGAGTGATTGATGGTGGTGATTCGTCAGTGCCAGAACAAAACACTTGAGAAAATATGACCAGCATCACTTAATTTCAGACCAATTTATACGTTTTTTTTTTCACATTTTATATCTGTAAATCTGACCCTCAAACAAAATCCACCTCAAAAAGTTGTGAACATAAACTTAAGATTTTTAATAGGGCAGAAACAAAAAGATTAGATCACCTGATCATCTGATTTTTTTTTTCCAATCCTAATTTGTTAATTTGAAGAACCCATTCTCAAGATCTGATCAATCTGATATCTTTAGTCCTGTCAGATTATTTTTGAGCACCTGAGCCCTGGATTAACACACGAAGTTGAGGTCAGGAAGATTATGTTTGATTACAGCTGACACTTCTTTAAGGGTTAAATCTACCCTCTTATGTTTGGGACACAAACGTCACAGTGAGTGCAAACCTCTTTGTAAAAAACAAATAACTTGATTAAGGAAAAAACAAGAAGCCCCAAAAGCAAAAGAGTGACGAGAAATGAGCTGATTGGCATCTCTGCAGAGAAAACACTCTGCTTGTTCTGATAAGACGAGAACACAGAGTTATGCTGAAGAGGAAGAAGTATTCACATCTCTGCAGGAACTAACACTTCCTCTTCTTTTTTATACTGACACAATCTGTCAAGGTCAAACTGAAACACAGTGAGCTCTTTAACACTATAAATGATATAAGTACTGCCACAACAGAGCAGAAATTCAGAGTTAAACCTCATTGTTCATTAAAAAGAGAGAATACTTCTTTAAAAATAACCTTTCCGGCATGTTTGGTGAGTATTTCTGTCAGGTATGAAAACATTTCACCTTTATAAACACTGTTTTATTGATCCTAAAACCAAATTAAAGGGCGCCCAGGACTTCTGTGTGCTTTCTGTCCTGCTGCTGATAAAGAAGTAGACAGAATGTGAAACAGGGCCAAGCGTCCTAATAGCAACTTTCCCGGTCCTGATTGCTCATTTTGAGAGATTTGATTTGAAGTTTGATAGAAATAATGATCCAAAGTAGAGAGGAAAGGTTCAAAAATACAAGAAAATATATTAAGTACCGAACATGTCTCATGCAAACACTGGCCACAACATTCCCACACAACAACTATCAAAATCTACCTACGACCCACCCAACCCCATTATACAAAAATACAGAGCTGACAGTAAAAAATTAAAAGCTCGGCTTTTTGATCATGGTTGAACAGTTAACACTGACAGTGTGACGGATATGTCTGCAAAGTGTCACTAAGAGACACAGAAGTCAAAGGAAAGCTGACGTGCACAGTAGAAACAAGACAGAGACACAAGTGCAAACACCACGAGTCAATGCAAACGCGTACCCCTGCTTTTATGTGTTGTTGACAAATAATGGAAAAGTAGTTCACGAGCAGGAAAATCACCTCAACGTGCAACAAAGTTTAAACAACATTTAACTTTTACAAACATGGGAATAAACGGAGGAAAACGGATCTAATTCATTTAAATGCTGCATACCAGTTTTCTGCACACTTTCAGTTTCCAACTTGGCTCCAGGTTGTAAGTTCGAGTTCAAGTTAACATTTCATCGATGTGTTCAGATGCATCACATCTTTTTGAAGCAGTTTTGTTGCTGCAACATTATGACTAGCCAACTCTGGGAATTACGGTGCAGAAAATTGCAGAACAATGACTGGACGCAGGGTGACTTTTTCTCTGCAGTTAACAGGTTTAACATCTCAAGCCAGAAGGCACTTGATGTCAAGGCTGAAGGCTTCCCACTGCAAGCATCTTAAAGGAATAGTTCTTTTTTTAAAGTGTGGTTGTATGAGGTACCTGTCAAAAGTGAGTGTATCAGCCACAGGGGATCCAGGTTGGCTCGGCCCCTTTGTAGAGAAACCAGATCAGAAGCTTGATTATCAAGTGCTGCAGATGAGGTCAGCTCTACCACATAGTTCAGCTCATTTTAAGGCACTCCAACTAAAGCACTAATGTTGGTGTGAGTGAATGCACTCTTTGGAAAATGTTATGCACTTAACTTTTCCGTCAGAAAGCCAGCTTGTTTATGCACTGTTCCTCTAGGATGTGCAAGTTGCCGATATACATCTTAAAAAGGAATATTCAAAATTTTTGAGATGCACCCGTGTGGTGAATACAGTCACATAAAAGTGTATTTTCATTGGGTCAACATATATTGTTGACTAATCGTTATATCAGGGATTATAAGAGCTGAAAACGTACTTCTAAACACACTTCTATGTGGCTCCTCTGAGCTGTGGAGCTGACTGGGATCACCTGTGGGGAATACACTTGCTACTGAAAGGTACTTCTTACAACCCCACTTTAAAAAATCTGCAATGTCCCTTTAAGTGGTAAAAACGAGACACTTGCTTACAATTCAGGAAGGCCAAATCAAGGAATAAAATTACAATTTGACGGTGAATTATCTTTATATCGCTTTAACATTGCACAGCAATTAACCTTGTCATGAGGCAGGATTTACGTGCACTGCAGTCACAATGATGAATGTTTCAACCATTTTCTGCAGATGCTGTCCGCGTCAGCTCCCACAGCGTTTGTATAGATGTATAAAATTAGCTCTTTGGTGTTTGAGACACTGTTGTGTAGTAATGATCCGTTCATTTAGCTCAGTACCACAGACTGTATATGAGGAGCGGATGTAGCCCCAAGGTCCCTTAAGAGACGCCACAAAAGAAATGCGTCAAACCTGCATTTTTTTTTCCTGCCTGAAGGGGCTGAAAGTAGAAATCTGGTTTGCCAGCACAAGTATGTACCTCCTGTCCCTCACTTGATTTACTCTTGCATTAGTTTGTGCCTTAAACCTCTCGTTTCAAGTTTTCTTCAGCTCACTTTGGCGTTTATTTTGTAGATTATGGTCCCTTTAGAGTCAAATAGTTGCAGAAACAGGATGCACTTTGGACACAGAGGTGAAGGAATGTGTGCAAACCCTGCATAATTAAGGCTACAGAACTGCGGACAACAAACTAATGGCTAACATCATGGAGGCTATTTCCACTTCTCATATACAGTCTGCTCAGCTCGGAGTCCAGCTGGAGTCGACTTGTATGGATTCACCTGAGCTTCAGAGCTGAATGAATAAATGATAAATAATCGATGATCCCTTGAATCTGCAGAAGCACAGACAGTGCCGATTTCTCTTATTGTACTCAGCCCTCGTCGCCTGACGACCAGCCTGTGTTTGATTGGGTACAAAGACAGTCTGACAAACATGAAGCATCCAAACACACATTAACAGCGTTAGTGCAGCACAGACAGAGACCGGTCCTGAGAGGAGAGAGCGTGGATGGGGTGAGCTGGGTCACTTGAAAGCCGACTGCAGTTCTTTGAAAGCAGCGCGTCTCTGTTTCTGCTCCTCCAGCTGCTTCTTCTTGGCCTCCTGCTCCTGACGGATCTCTGCTTCAAACCGGTTAGACTCATTGATAGCGTGGACCTGTTGGGCAGGAAGAAACACACATAGATGTCAGGTGATGGAGCTTGGTGCTAAGAGCTGAAAACTTAAAACAAGGTTTAGGAGATCTGTGCCTGTAAGGGTCAACAAGGAAAGAAAGCTGCATCCTGTGATTACTAACAGCATTGTATTAGCAAGTCCCTCCCTAACTCAGTACTCTCAGTGAGCTGCATATGTGAACAAAAACATCAAAAATCCCAGCTTCTCCTGGACTTAAATAGACGCTGGCCTTGTGCATGAACTCAGAGTGGGCTACAACCCCCAGATGTGGTCTGGGACCTCCTTCAAATTTACACCATATTAGTTCATTTTTTCTCTGTAATTTGATTCAAAAAGTGAAACTTCCATATATTCTAGATTCATCAAATCAAAGTGAAATATTTCAAGACTTTTTTGTTTGAATCCTGATTACTATGGTTAACCCACTGTCTCAAAACACGTAAATATTATAAAACATCAGATTTATGATACAGAAAAGTCATCGTGTTAAGTTTATCTATGTGTTAGATAAACTTAACACGATGCTTAGTCTGGGCTCAAGAATTACAGCATCTATGCTATGTGGCATGAAGGTCATCAGTCTGCGGCTCTGCTGGGCTTTTATTGAAGTCCAGGTTGCTTTGATTGCTCCTTCAGGTTGTTTGTGTTGTTGCTCTGGTGTTTCTCATCAGATTGTCTTCTAGGGTTCTGGTCAGGACAGCACAGTAACACTACAGTCAGAAATCTAGTCTCAGGTAGTTTTGGCGCTGTGGGCAGGTTCAGGTCCTGTGTTAAAAGGAAATCTATATTTCCATAAAGCTTTTCAGCAGATGGAAGCATTAAGGTCTCGAATATCTCCTGGTAGACTTTTGGCTGTGTTGACTCTGGAATTGATAGAACAATAAAGACCAACAACAGCAGATGACACGGCCAAAAGTCCACAGACTGTGGAAACTTCACGCTGGACTTCAAGCTCCTTAGATTCTGGGCCTCTCTGATCCTCTCCCAGACTTTGGAGTGCATCTTTCTTTAATCTCTCATGAATTTGTTTGCGGCACAAAAGTGTCACAAATGACTATGAGCTGTTGTGTTAGCATAGCTGGTCTGTCTCTCACTAAATCCTCACTGAGGTTTAGTCCTGAAAGACTCTTTCTGCTCAAAGGAACCACAAAGTAGAACTGAAATTCACACGTCTTACTGAATCAAAAAAATCTCAGAAATTTACAAACAGCTCCATCTTGAAACTGGCTCTTTCACCAATGAAACATCTTAAAGCTTTTTTTCCCCCAATATGCTTGATTCTGCAGCTGCACCAACAAAGCACATATTTTGCAGCCTGTATGCATTTGATATTATAGACAAACTTCCTGGAGTTATGATGGGGGAGACGTCATGACAACAATACTAACAGTTAATGCTAGCAGCAAAAGTAAGGGTAATTTTATGAAAGACAAAAAACTAGGGCTGCAGCTATCGATTATTTTAGTAATCGAGTACTCTATCGATTAATCTGTCGATTAATCGAGTAATCGGATAAGAAATGTTTTGCTCTCACTGTAATACTTTGCATTGAATCACGTTTGCCTCATTAAAAACCATCAGTAACACACAAAACTGAAATAGGCCAGGTCTTTCAAATGAATATTTTTACTGCATAAATCAGGAACCAAAAGTTTTACATTTTACCATGTAGTTCACATGAAACTACTGAAGGCAAGGTCTGCAGATGGTCTTTTAATTGCTATGGTAATGATCTTTGCAGTTTTCACTAAACCAGTCACAACTATTTCCAGGCTTTGGATCTAATTTTACTTGTTTAATTAATAGGCTGAAATAATATAATTCTTGGATACTAACATAATTTGACAAGCAAATGTACATTTATTCAATATATAAAAGTGTTACATTTTTATTTACATGTTGTTGTGTGTTGGTCATTTTGCAGCCCTCTGCTGCTCATCACACGCCTAGCAGGTGGTGTATAGCATTATCACCATGGATACACGGATGTTTGTGTGATTTTTTTCATCCACTGCCGCCCGGTTTGTGTCGTGTAGATGTTGATTATGAAAACACTTCGCAATAATTTGGAAACGTGAAGGGGGAGCTGCTGCTGCCCGGTGTTTACGGTAAATAGACGCAAACACCGACCAAGTGGACGCTTCGGTCTCCGAAAACGCCGAGACAAATTTACAAACAGCCACTATTTCAAACAACTGGGCTCATAATCGTGATGTAAACACTTACTTTCTCGCTAGAAAAAATATTATTATTGAATGAATTTATATAATTTGTCCGGTATGCAGTCGTTCTATGTAGCTTGTGGTAGGACTATTTAAATTTTCCCGGCGCTGCGTCCGGCCGGCACGAAATGCATTCTGGGGTATTTAGTATGTATGTGTGTAAACGCTCGGGCAGCCGCAGCATACTCAAATCATCTTTGAGTAGTCAGTAGGCAGTAGCTACTGCTTGAGTAGGTAAGTAGATAGCAGGCAGTATGCCATTTCGGACACAGCTTCTGTCTGTCCTCGTTTCCCTCCATGATTGAACCAAACGCGCGGCAGCGGAAGGAGCGGAAAGAGCACGCTTCTGCGCAACAGAAATAACCGTCCGTGTCAAACACCGTGCGCTGCACATGGTTCCGGATTTAAACGATTCCTCGAGGCATATAATTTGCCTCGAGGAATTTTATTAATCGAGTTACTCGAGTTACTCGAGTAATCGTTTCAGCCCTACAAAAAACAAATGAGCACTAGGCTGATGGGCCTTTACAAATGTCTGTACCTCTATGAGAAATTATGCTGAGTCATTCCTTACTCTCAGCTTGACCTCCATCAATCCATGTAAAGACGGATTTTAAAGCAGCACTTTCAATCCCTTTATTTGTGCAAAGAGCTTGTTGCAGACAAATAATCCTCAAGATGCAGAACTATGCTTACACAAGATAGTTAACCCTAACCCTTAGTATCTATGTACACATGGACATGCAGCATGTGTTTGAGCCTGTGTATGATGATGAGAGGGGAGGAGGGCTGCAGATATTCTCACCTGCTAAAGGGAGATTCTGCAGAAAACGTTTAGCGACCACTTTTCAATGACAAAATTTGCACCTTTATATTTCATCATTTTGTCTATTCATCTATGGCGGCTCTCACGGTGCCTCAAACCTCATCAGATCTCAGCTATGCCAAAAGCATACTGACTGTCTGCTAAATGTTTTTCTTGCATTAATGTAACACACCCTTATGATCAGCAAAGTGATGGATGGTGCTTATTACAGTGACATGTTTAGCCAGTAAATCAACTTCTGCCGCGGTAATGAGCTCCGACATGTAATCAAACAGCAACAAACAATGTGGGAACGCAAACATGCACGTCAGTCATTAAATAAGACTTGACACTGACAGTAATTTTCACGCTTGTCGGTGCAGCTGTCTCTTAAATCAACCTTTAGCTTTTTTTCAACAGAGAACAGGATGCAACTTCTAATATTTGCACATTTTATAGAAGAATACACTCAGGGCTCGACAGTGCGACCATTTCACTTGCATTCGTGACTAAAAATAGATTTGTGCAAATTATAAAATGTGTCTAGTGGCACACGCATAAAAAAATCAGCCAAGGCAACAAATGTTTTTTCATGTAAATACTGAAGTGAAGTTAGCTTTAGGTTGGATATTCGACAGACATTCACGGCGGATCTACCGGTGTCTTCTCTCTCCCCATGACCGGTAATAGTAAGAGCAGCGCAGTTAAATCTACTCGCCACACTCGCTGTCAAAGTCGGTTGTTGAATAAGAGACCATCAATAAATTACTGGTTGATGTTCTCAAAAAAGGCTTTTTTCCTTCAATAGCTTCCATGTCATGTGACCAATTAAGCTTAAATTGATTTCAAATAATAGTACTTATGTCGACCAATAAGACACACATTTTGATCCATTTTTATTGTGCCCCTAAAGTTCTTTGTGTGCTCCTTAATTTTTCAACTAAGGAGTACATGTGCTCCCTGTGAAAAAAGTGAGTGTCGAGCCCTGACACTTCTGTTTTATTGAACGATTTTAAGTGCAACAGCAGCCCAAAGCTAACTGTAAGGCTTTAAGTTGACCTTTTCCTGTAAGTGAGTGAGTATTGTACCGCAATACTAAAGCATGGCTTACCCACAGTCAGGACTGTGCTTGAATGCATCCTGTGTGGACACTAATGGTAACCACTGCTCTAATGTGCTCCTTTCACTGCAGAGATATTTACCTTCATTGTAACTATGATTAAAACATTGTTCCTGATATTTTGCAAACAGATTTCACTACAAACTCCAAACTGCACCATCTTTGCAGAGATTTAGCGTTTCCCCATAAAGAAAGCATTGATTTACTGCATGCATGATTTAGTGCAAATGTGCGTGGTGAACTCTCTCTCTCCAGTTTCTGTGGAAACTGCAACAAAACACTTTCATATCAAAAATTTGGAGTGTCTCACTTTGGCTTCAAAGAAGGTCTTGGCTCCTTTGACTCCCTCTTCAGAGACGTCGATCTCAGACAGACGAGCGAGGGCACTGAGGCCGCTGTCTTCTGCCAGCTCTCCTGCTGCTGCTTTCCTGAAGATCAGCAGGAACTGAGGAAGACAGGAAGAGCACAGAGACATGTATTCATACTGAAGAGATTGATCACATCCTGGGTCTGGCTCTAATCTGGTTTGTCTCACTTCTCTGAAGCTGAGCTTGTTGTCCAGATCCTCGTCCACCTCCTTCATCATGTTCTTCAGGCCGAGGTGAGTCTGAGGAGCTTGGAGCTTCTCCATCATCAGCTTCAACTCCATCATGTCTATGTAGTTGTCTTTGCCGGTGTCATACCTGAAGAAAAAAAAATGTTTTATAACAGCTCGGCTGCAGAAAAACTCACACCTCCCACAGAGTGTATGCTGTGTTCCTTCAGACAGTTTAAGCTTCATTTGTCTGATAAGATATTTCACTTCTGATAAGAAGGATTGAAAAAAAACACAATTCACTCTGTGATAAAATATTGTTCCACTTCATCTTTGACCCTGCAGATCTTATTGTCTACTGCTTCTTCTGAAACTACTCCTCATACTGAAAAATGAATCCTAAGGCCTCAGCAGGAACTTCAAGTTCTCCTTTTGTTTGTTTGCTTTTACTCTGTTATTTTCCTGCCCTGGAGACGAGTTTCAGGAACTAACTTTTGGAGGAGAGACGAGCTAGTGGGCTTTAGAGTCTAAAAAAGAATCAAAAGACAGACTTAAAATGTTGAATTAAAGCAAATTTGGATCTCTACCTGGCAGCCTGAGTAGTTGGACATGAGGGATACAAGCATGAGTGTCTTTACCTTTAAATATCTGCATAAATCAAATTATGAACCAAGTATAATATGCAGGAACTCCAATGTAACCTCAGAACTTTTGGCAGATGATTTTAAAACTTGGTTTCTATCAACAGCATTTACCACACTCTGTGTACGTGCTTTTTCTATGACTGGAAGGGTGCGTCAAAATTCAGCCAGATAAAAGAACAAGTTGTCTCTTTTAGACAATCTGTGCAACTGTCAAAACAGACAGCACTTGCATGTGCTTCATGCAGCAGTCAGTCAGCTGTGAGGAAAAGAGAGAACAGGCACAGCTTTTTTTTTCCTGTTGCACACCACATTTCTTCACTTACATATAAATACATATATTTTTTTTTCAAGAATTAGAGTGTTATATCAAGGGTAAAAAGTCGTACGACATTAAAATAGTTCTGTTAGGAAAAGAAAGTAATAGTAAAGTCGTTGTTTTACGAGAACAAAGCCACAATGATACGAGAATAAAGTCATAATCAACCCATAGCTTAATAATGCGAGAATGAAGTCACTGAATTACAAGTTTTGGTAAAAGACTGACAAATAATAAAAATAACCAGCTGTCTGCACCAAAATGAGGAAATGGAGCATTTAAAAGAGCATTTTAAAATGCACCCTTCTACACATTTTTATCCCCTCTAAAAACAGATGTGATGTACGGTAATCACTGACTAAAAAGACTCATTATCTCACAAGAGCACTTCATCTATGTGACTAAATGTCTCTATTTGCAATGTGACTTTATACTTCAAATTATCATTTCTTACAATTTTAAAATATGGCCCTGATACTATTTCAAATTTTTGCATTATCCCTTTAGCTACAGTCAGAATTTATCTCAACATATTAAATCAGTTATTGAGCGTAAATACTCAGCATAGTTATATATATATATTTTTAGATGTGTTTAGATTTAGGAGGGTCGTTTCATCATGCAAGCAGTTTTGTAAAAAATAACAGAATATTATGGAGCAAATTTGAACTCTTAATATTCGTCCTTATCTCAATATCAAATAATGTAAAGATAAAAGGTACTATTTTCTCTGATCTATTTTGGGTCACCCCTGCAAATAAAACTGCAAACAGAGGCCTCTGCCAAAATTGAAGAATAAGAATAAGGATAAGAAGAACTTCATTTATCACCAAAGAGGAATTCAATAAATAAAATAAATAAAAATAAATAGATTTCATAACACTCATGGCCCCAGTGTCGGGTGTTTTTTATGAGGAAAAACACTGTTTACCAAGAATGTATGAAAGCTTACATACAGGAAATACAATTTCACAACAAGTTGGTCCATAAAGCTTCCACCAAACACAGAGATAAAGTGTGACGCTCTAGGTTTCCTGGTGGAGGACCTCCAGAGCCCAAAGGTTTTATTTTAAACACTTTTGCACTCTTGAGTTAAATAATGATGATTTATATTTTATAATCCCTTTAACAAGGCTTGATTTTATCATATCAATAACAAAGTGATGAAATCAGATTGCTCTTAATGTTCATGAACCATAAATGCAGTTAACATACCATTAGTCTCCTCAAAGGATTAAATATATGCTGCCTTCCTGTAGAGTTGAGGGCCCCTCACTGCCCCCTCCTTACAGACACTCTCAGATCAGCGATTGGTGGAAAATATTTACACATGAAGAGATAAAATCCTCTTTTCTAAACAGCATTGGGTGTACTCCACCTCAAAGCAGAACAAGATACGACAATGACACAATATGACCACAGCAGGCGGCTTAAACTTGGCGACTCCTCACAGCTGTTTGGAGACGTCAAATTTAAAAGAGAAACAGATTAATTTGCTCTTTGAGGCTTTTGTCTTCTTTATCAAGAGCTGTACCTTGACATTCCTGACTAGTTATAATTCTTACCAATGTTGCAAATATCTAATAAATATTTTAAGATAAAAAAACAATGCTAGTGTTTTTGTTTTTCATGTGGAAAGTTCACACTTTGTAAAACTGTAATACTGTTCTCCTGACAGGAGTTGGAGAGGTCTTTCTTTGGACCACTGAAGGGGAAACGGCTCCATTTCACTGTGTAATATTGTGAAAGAACAATAAAGGTGGACTTTGAAGTCCTGTGTTTGGCGCCTGGTCCTGTTTTAGATACGACTGTACAGAGTTTCAGCTTCACCAAAAGCAGAGTGAGGAGAAATCTGGGTACTTTTTACACATGATGTTGGCTAACAAGTGCTGTCAGCTCAGTGTGCTGAGGAAGTCTGACCCTATCAGATTGCATTTCCTCTTTGGCAGACAGTTTGTGTCTAGGAAAGCTCATTTCTTCCTGAATACTCCCTTTGTGGTCATTAGAGGTCTAAATCTGGGAATCACACAGTTATTGACCTTTTTATAAGCACTATCATCCGACTCCAGATCAGATCATGAGTAGTTGTAGTTATTGGCCCTCTCAGATCTCTCTGTACTGCAAACTCTCCAAGTTTCTCCCCCTACTTGGCACGGCTCCACGTCTATTTTAGGATATTTGTTTTCAAAAGGGACTTCAGCGGGAAAAAGCAAAGACAGGCAGTTTTCCCAGAGTTTCCCATGAAAGAAGAAGCTGCTCAGAGCTTGATTTCTCTGGTACAAACAGTTCATCTGAAGATTTATTGAGCAGCACGGTTTTATATTCGACCCATTCTGAACATTAAAAAAACCCTGGTGAAGTACATATTGAGTAACAACAAATGATTAATAAAATGTTTTTTTCTTTCATTAGGAACTTTGAGGAGCTTCTAAAACATGCGCCAGCAGAGAGTTGTGTTTTTACAGCTTCAGAATGAAACATTTAAATGATTAAAACGGAATAGAAAAGGATAACGTGGGATCTGTGGTTAATCAAACTTCAGATATCTATTTGATACATTACAGGTAAATATTTGTACCATAACAGTCGTGCAGGTAAAAATAATCATGCTGAGTTTTTACAGCATCCTGCTCCTCTGTTGTCTGCATGTCAGAGCTCTGCAGGGTTGGGCTGACACATACAGACTTGTGCTCACACAGGAAAGATGCACCCTGCTGTTTAGACACTTCCTGCTTCCTGGTCTATGTGGGGACTTTGGTTCAAACCACCTTCAGTCCTGCATGCATACATTCAGATCAGTACCCCGAGTCTGGACTGAACCAAAAAGCCCACAATGAAATAGTAAAGCAGAAATACATTTAACTTTGCAACAGTAGCAACATGTTACAAGTACATTTTCATAATCAGGGATGTGTGTTTGGGTCGTGACTGATAGTGGGGCTTAACTCTGTCCTCAGCTCCATTTTTGCTTATTTCGTGCTAAACAGAAAGAAGTAGAAAACCTTGTGCGACCTCACTGAAACCACATCCTGGTCTTTAGAATATAGAGCAGAAAACCACAAAATAGTTTTCCAACACTATTCAAATTTCTTCTCACCACAGATCTGTGTTCGAGGTGTTTAAAGAGCATGTTGGACCTTAAAACAAAGAGGGCCTACTTTGGATTTTTACTCGTAAATTAACACTTGAACTGTCCACGCCTAAATGGATGTGACCCCTTTGAAGAAGGCTGTAAAAAGAGGATCTGTTAGTAAGTACAGGGTTTCTGAGGTGTGGACAGGCCCGAACACGATAAGAAGCTGAGGAATCTGGGCAGAGACAGCCACAAGTCATATACATGTGATAACAAAACCTCACAGTCAATCTCAGCCTCTCTCTGGAGGCTAATGCACTGCGGCTAGAAAAAATGCACATACTGTATGGACAGCAGGATGAACAAAGGAGTCCCTGTTACGTGATGAAATGTTACAAGATATAGATGCTAAAGCCCTTCATAATGTACATTTCTATGGAGCCAGCAAGGATTTAATCAAGTAAACGTTTGATCAGGAGTCTGCAGGTTTGGTAGCTGCATTTTGAGAAGCAGGAGGTGGTCATCAGAGGTACAATAAACACTCATGTCACCAGTGCCCACCGCCCACACTGACAGCTTGCTGTAACAAGGCGTCAGATTGAACGCTGGCTCACCCTGAATTCCTGCCATTCAGCTGTGATTCAGTTTTAGAGCCTGACTCACTCTGCAGTCGCTCTAATAGAAGCCTGGACAGCAAGTCAACACAATGGCTGTCTTATTAAAATAAACGTTGTGTGGTTAGCAAATAATGCACCTCACAGATAAACAATTATGGCTTAAGCAGTGACAACAGAGCTGAATAAACACCTCCTGACACAAACAGGACAGAGAGTACACTACAAGCTACGCCCTCAGCCAGTGAAAGCAGGGTTCAGCTCTCAATGTGATCATCTCTAACTTATATATCTTTACTATTGTGATGCATGAATTTAAACTGAACATTATAATAAGAGTCTTTGTGGTGTCAGCAAACATTTATCACATCTTATTTTAAAAATAAACTTGTGATAAATAGTTTTAGTTTCCACAGTGTTTTTTCATGCCTCCAGGACCTCAGGAGACCTCACCGCTGGGATCAGGAATTTCCAAAACTATATTTTTAGGTTGTTTGTAAAACAGCAGATACAGTTTGGAGGCTCTGTTAAAAACCAAAATGTGGTTTAAAAGCCCAACTGTGATATTTAGACATTAAATCCTGAGTTTATCAAAGGAAAAGAAATTTATCATTTACACCCCAAAATTTGTAAAAGCTAAAGGCTGGGTTTGAAAGTACAGACACCCCTCTTCCCTCTTCCTTTGCTGAAAAGCTGCCTTGCCCACCCCGCCGGAAATTGAAGAATGGTGGCCTTCAAGGACAAAAAACTCCTGTGAAGCATCATGGCTATAATCCTCCATTTGTCAAGCCGATGACAAATCCAGTCTATAGTTAAGAATTGAACACAGTTTGTTATAATGTAGGAATAATAATGAACTCACAGCTCACAGCTGCTGGGCTGGCACCTACCCCTTCACACCACCTTCAGACATTAAAAACCACAAAACAAAAATGACCAATCTTGTCACAGAGGGTCTTGTTTGCTTGAGTGTATCAAAAAAAAGGCATCAGTCCTTTTGATTCAGGTATATTAAAAAAAGAAAATCCTGAGACCCAGTGAGTCAGATTGGATGGGAAATCTGTTAAAAGAGCTATTTCATTATCAAATCATAGCATCAGTATTTGATCCCAGCAAAGGATGACTGTGTATCCCAAGTGAGGACAGCATTATATTGTAGTTTCAGTCATTTGTTTCGCTGTTATTGTACCTTACACAGTAAAGTGTGTCAGATTTCCTGATCTCTAACTGATATAGGCCCCCACCCTGTAATTCCTCAAGCTACAGAAATCCTAAAGCACATTATATTGTGTATAGAAACTGATCTGAACACTGATTTGAGTTGTTATGATTTACCCATTTCTTAGGCCCGTTTACTCTTGACTGATTTTATGTCCGTATTTTGTAATATTGGGGTGGTATTTCCACATTTCTGGCACATGTGACGTGTATGATAACCTGACAGCTCCACTTCCTTATATGTTCATTCTCATGGTTACTTCCCTGTTAAGACTGAGATGAATGCAGGTGGACTATCCCTGACCTGGAGGCATGTCACACACTCAGGCAGCAGCTTCACACACAGTGACACAATCACACAGACACTTACGTTTTGAACATCTTCTCCATGTCTTTAATCTGCTGCCTGGAAAACTCCTTGAACTCGGTGTAAGGGTTGAACACCTTCATGCTGGGCTGCACGTGCTCCCCCTGCCCCTCGTTGAGCTCCTCGCGCCGCTGCAGCTTCTTCCCCAGCTCCGAGTCCGCGTTGGCCGTAGTCGGCTTATCATCGGACCCGTTCTGGGCTTCCGCCAAGTCCACGGCCACTGGTTCCTCCGCTCCTTCCTCGATCTGGAGCCGACGGTTCAGCTTGGAGGAGAGCTCGTCTGAGGCCATTTTCAAACTGGGTGTCTGATAATGAAAAGAGGGCGTTATTCAGAGAACTAGATACAGTAAGGAAGAAGGCGTCTGCTCTAGACTTTAAGACAGCCCTCTGCTCCCTTGACCTGCTGCCCTCCTTTGTATTCGGGCTGTCCGCGGATATTTCAGTCAAGAAGCGAAGAAAATAAATCACAGACGCCCAATCTGCTCCACGGCTTTGTTTTGATTTCCGGGGCTCAGGCTCCAAGTTCAGACAAATACCTCCACTCCAGGATGTTCTACATTGGCTCATTAGCTGCGTATCATTGTATGGCGCTGTCACGCTGTGGCCACGCCTTTTAAAGAGACAGGCACACAGTCTTCAGCGCTCTACAGGTGAGGGGCTGGAGTCTGTTTACCTGATCACGACGAGGGAATAATCACTCATCCAAACAAAAGTCACAGTGACCCTGAAAGTTTGGAACTGGGCATTTGAGTGAACGCCATAAATATTTCACAAAAGTTGTTTTAATGAACAGGTATTTCATAAAAAGCTGTAATTACAACAAAATAGAATGAACTAAAAAAAAACCCACAAAGATATGTTGTAGAAAGCAATGATTTGACAAAAAGTTGAAATATGAATATAATATAATATAATATAATGTAAAAGAAACATTTCACAAGACTCAAAAATATACTTAAAACTCAAAAATGTTTGACAAATACATATATAAAAAGGAGACATCTTTTTTGCATGGTGGAAATGTTTGTTTTCGAAACTTTTTCAAATTGAATACATCATTTTTGTTTTCATTTACAAACTATTTTATCCTTTTTGAAATGTTTGTGCTTGTAAAATATATTTTAATAGTTTTGCATTTCTCATTATATTTTCATATTTGAAAAATAGTTTGAATTTTATGGTTTTTTGAATCTTTTCAAACATGTTTTTATTTTGTTTATTGTTGGCTGTATATCTTTTGCATATATATGAATCTCAGCTTGATCCTACTCTTTTATTGTGGAATATTACTGTATTTCACTAAATGTTTATAAATGTCTATATTTTCATGTGGTATGTGTTTTTTTAAAGATTTTTTTAATTTTACAAATTTGAGAGATACTTTTGGTGTTCACAGAACCGAGTTAAAATGACAAGAAAAACGGATCAGTCACGTGACAGAAAAACATCTGAAACAAAAAATGTCAGGAGTAAAACAGAAATGTCCAGAATTGAGTCCAAAGGTTTAAAAAGATAGCAAAAAAAAGACTGAGGTTAAAGGAGAAAAAAAAAGTGAAAGCAAACAAATAAATCAGTGCTTTAAGAAGTGAGAGTAATCTCTTCAGAAAGAGGAAAATGATGAGTACTATTAAAAAAAACAATTTTCTAAATAAAGAAGGAATTTGATTTAGACCTTTGTGGTGTAAGACCATCTTTTGGCTCCATCTGTTGGCCGAAATATTGAGTTGTTGAAACAACCTGGTTCAGTCAAAAAGTTTTAGCTTCTGTGCCAGTGTTAAATGCCACCATTTAACCACCTGAGAAAGAGAATAACTTGGATTGTCCACAAGACTTTAGATCAAAAACAGCATTAAAAAGTGAACACAAGTGGTCAGAGGTAAAGTGTAATTTCTGGCAGCATTCAGTTCCAGCAAGACTTGGTAAAAGTGTAACATAAAAATCACAAGATTGTTTAAAATCGTGTTTGATAACCTGAAAATAAAAATCTGAATATAAGAACAGGCTACTTTAGTCTGCTGATTTACAGAACATATTTATTTTGTATTATATCTGGAAACAGCAACATCATGTGGTATCTTGGTATATTACAGCAAACACTGAAATGCCTCTCATCTCTGTCAGCTGCAGAGTGACAGAAAAAAAAGGTCTGATGTGCGGTGCCCCTGAGGTGCAAAACACAACAGCAAATAAGAAAACACAACAGAAAAAGAGAAAACACAATGGTAAACATCATCACGTTTTCTGATTTGCTGTTGTGTTTTCTGATTTGCCATTGTGTTTTCTCTTTTTTGTTGTGTTTTCTGATTTGCCATTGTGTTTTCTCTTTTTTGTTGTGTTTTCTGATTTGCTGTTGTGTTTTGCATCTTAGGGCCACCATACAGATGTTAGGGTTGTGTTGCAAAGGTAATCCGAAATCATTGTTTGAAAAATGATAATATTTTTTCAATGTGTACACTGTGGTCAGAAAGGTGTTTCTATGATTGTGCAGGGAATTCAACCATATTATAAATATAAGGAAGCAGAAAATGAAAGATACTGTGTAAGGAATGATGAGCGATGAAGATCTGTCTCAAGTGGCATTTTGAAGACCGCATTGTTGCTCTTTACTTTTCTATCTCTTCTTGAAATTTCTGATTAATGGCTACATGGTTCTTGCTTGTCAAACTTGTGCATTTAAAATTTAATTCACAGGATACTGTAGAGTATTTGTGCAACATTTACAGTATGACACTTCTGCAGTGATTGTTCAGACATTTTGATTTGTATAAACTTCTGCAACACGTTGGACTTTTTTGTCCCAAGTGGGTAATAGTGTCATCTTGTGGTAAAAACTCATAATACATATTGTAGGCCATTAAGAGGTACTTCCACTAAAGCAGCACTAGGAGGTGCCAGAGTCAAAGAAATAAGAGGAATGGGAGCACGTGTTCATAAGCTTAAACTTTTATGGTTTTTCATGCCTTTACCTGTGCTTTAAACCTGCTGCAGTCAGCCCAGAATAACCAACACTACTCGTGCAACATGTTCCGACTGTGGCTCTTTTTAGGCAATAACTTTAGTCCCCCTGCAGACATATTTTAAGATTACTCTAGCCTTTTACAGTTATCAGCTGCCGTCACATCACTATATTTGTGTTAATTTTACACTTTACTCTGTTTTTACAAAATTTCTGCCAAAAAAAGGAGGGAAATAGAGGTTTTGTGGCATTGATATGTCCTCACAGTGAAATGAAACTAGACTGAGGCAATATCAGCCGCTGAATCAATGTGTCATATGAGTTTATCGAAATATTTATACATCAACCACAGCACTGCTCCATGCGTCACTCTCACACATCTCTAACCACATTAAACTGGTTTGATGACTGCTCTGTTTTGCCCAAAACTTAACCATTATCTCTCTGTCAACAGCTCAAGACCTGGTACCTTAGAGACAAGGTGTGTGTGTGTGTGTGTGTGTGTGTGTGTGTGTGTGTGTGTGTGTGTGTGTGTGTGTGTGTGTGTGTGTGTTAATGCAGATCATGCTTAACTGTCTGGAGGGAAGGTCTCCTGTAGGTGTTTATAGGGGCTGAAATCTGTGTGAGCATGAGGGTGACGATAAAACAAGAGGCCACATAAGGAGAAGAAAAGAAACCATGAGGGAGGATTTTCTTACTCAGGTTTTTTTTTTCCTGCCGCTCATCAAAAAGTCGGAGTAACCCCCAAACAGCTCCATCACTGTTTTGACAACAGAGACTCCCCCTCACATTCCTGCAGTAGCTGAAGAACTCAGACTGCTGCAGATTTGTCAGTTTAATACATTTTTTATTAAAGTACCACCCAGAGGAAAGTGTTTTTTTTAACATGATGAGACATTTCTGGACTGAACGGTTTCTGTCTGACTGTGAGGTACACGTCACCAGCAGGCATAAAAAAGAGAAAAGGGAAGTTACTTTGGCAAGAAAAATGTCACTATACCGAGACTGAGAAATGCATTATTCACCCTGTAAAGCATCGTCACATGTGCAGAACTTCCCATTCATTTTCAGTTGTCATGGCAACGCTTGCAAACACAAATAGACATCAGGGTTACTTCACAGAACCAGACAGGAAATCAGATCCTTATTCTGGCTGTGACATTTGCATGACGAGACACACAGAGACTGAAGGGGGGAAGGTTTTCAACACTAATATAGATGTTATTTTTGATTCAACACATTAGCTATTCACTACCCTAACAATACTGATATATACACAGCTGCTTAAGGATTCTAATACAGTCCAATTTCTGTTTGATTATTTTTTTATTATTATTTTTTTTATTTTTGGCAGTTTTACCCCAAAGATTCAAGGGCATCAGATAGTAAAATCATATCAGACGAGTGAGATGAAAAATGAAAAACAAGTACATATAAAGTAATGCATATCCTCTGATCTTGGCTGTTACCTTCCTCCTGTTTGGTGAGCATCAGTTTCTGGTACTGCAGATCAAAACTGAGAAAGAACAAATTAGAGTACCGTACTTTCAAACTCACAGTGTTTATCTAATGCAAAATCTCATCCTCTGGCTTTGACAAAGTGCTTTTTAAAGTTTCGTTTTCTCTTAACTTCCTCTGCCGCTTTTGCAGGACCCTGCCTCTGACCCAACAGTAAGCACTTTAACCAAATAACACAAAGATTTTGGAAAGAAACTGAAAAGAAAATTGACATAATTTTACCGTGAATAGACTGTGTGTGTGTGTTTGGAGGTAATGAGTCAAAGTTTTTGGTGGAAATTTTCCCAGCGTGGTCTTTTTTTCCCTGCTGTGCTTTTTTCCAAACTTTGAGTTTTGCAGTAGAGGCCTGTCTTAAAATCACACTCAGCTGGGAACATATCCAAATAAACTTTCACCAAACTGATTTGAAATGCATCTACACTTAGTTCAGGATGGATGTTTAGTCATCACCTCTTCATTGAATTAATTTCTGACACTTTCAACAGCAGCTCATAATAAAAGCTCCTATAAAACCTGCTGAGTTTACCTCATTACCCTGCTAGAATCGAGACCTTCAGGTTGAAGCTACACAATACCTGACAGGAACTTACTCCTGTTGTATTAATAGCAGAAATAAAGGCTTAATGATGTGCTGCTGAGGGGTGTTAGAGGTTATGTCACTGCCTGCAAACAGAAGGTGTAACAGCTGTCCTCCTACACTGTCAGTTCTGGCCTTTTATAAACACAGCTGTGTGATACTAACACCAGGGAAAATGCTCCTTTTAAGCCAATGCTAAGGAAGACTCTGCTTGTCCTTTTATTCTAAATTCTAGTACAAATGTTAAGTCCTTACATAAGTGAGAAAAAATTTACAAACATGTTTCAATCACATCTAAAGGTGTCCAAATCCTTGTACTTAGAGGTACAAATGATCACTTTAAAAGATGTCCAAATCGTGTTTTTTTCTGCATCACAGGCCGACTGATTCCAGCACACTGAGCGCTTAATAAGGCACTTCATCCAGCCCTGGCAGCAGATGCTGGTGTGATTATCGGTCTGTGGTGAAACAGGGTCTGATCTGAGTGCGATCACTGTGTGGCTCCTGGCAGAATCATCCTCCAGATTCCTCAGCGTGGACACGCTCAGAAAGGCTGCTCGCCGCTTAAACTGAAGGGCTTTCAGAAATTCACATCCATCCAACCACATTTACCCTTTCAGGGGAGCCGGACTGAGCGAGCTGTGAAAGAAACACATTGTCTGCATCCTTTCGGGGAACATTCAGAACAAATGAATTAGCCACATTGTTCAGAGGGTTTTATTAAAGGTCTTGGTTTAAGAGTTTGGTTGGGAGAGCACAGGGAAATCTTTGTATTCTTCGATTTATGGAGTCAAACACGGTTAACTTTGCCCCTTGATGGCTCTTAATGTCGTGCCTGAAATCTTCTGGAACAACTTCCTGTATGACGGCACAAATCATGAGTGTATACGTTAACATGCATGACTACTATCCGTCTTATCCTCCTGTGAAACTGCATAGAAATGCTCTGCTTCTGCCAGCATGACAGAAAACATGTCCAAGAGAAAGTTAGCCGTCTTGTACAGATTGTGCAAACATACCTCTGATTTATCACCAAATAAAAATGACAGAAAGAGTCACTCTGTAGTTTGTTTGTCGTAAACTCAGCCTGTAAATGTGAGAATATGAGTTACTGCGGGCTCTGGCAGGATCACACTCACAACAATTAGGATAATGATTAGTATTGTGCACAGTGAGGGGAGATGATCTCATATTTGACCTGAAACATGGTCACTAATAACGGGTTAAATGAGGATAAGATGGCGAGGCAAGGCGAGGACAAGCGGCTTTATGGATCCCAACAAAGAGGCAACCCAAAACACTTAAGGAGGATTAAACTGAAATTAAAAATTAATAAGCTATCAAAACCACAATAATGCATAAAAATACTTGCCAATCCATCTTTTATGATTGGTTTATGTGATAAAATGTGTTATTTCTATAATTAAAAGAAGTGAGGCCACAGCTGGATCCTTCGTTGGGATGGTTACAGGAAACTTGAATGATAAAACTTCAAGTTTAAATCAAGAAAATGTTAAAAATGTCCTAAATGCCCATTATTTTAAACATAAAGCTCTCTATTATGAGGCAGTTATTGCACTTGGGTGACCTGTTGTTCAATAAGGAGGAGGGGACCTGACTATTTGTTTGTGCTTATATTGGGGGGCCTAACTACTACTTTTGCCTTTCCACAAGTCACTAAATAGAAGGCCTTCATGGTAATGGTTTTCAAACCTCTGCTTCTGAGGCTGGCCTGATGGGCTAAGTATACTGTGTGTACTCCAGTTAATGTGGGAGCTTGGATTTAAAGTCCTGTACAGAAACAAGCCAAACATGTAGACCTTTACACCCCAGATCTATTTTCTAAGCCAGGCGTGATTTTCCACAGACATTTGCAGACTACTAAAATGACAAATATGTTTCAAACTTAGAAATTTGTGAAGTGTGAAGATGAAACTCTACAAAAAAAGTTATGAGACTGTAAAATTTAAAAGACAGACAAAAAATCTAAACAAATCCGGTGAGATTTCACAGGCTTGTGCTCCCAGGGTCACGTTCTGTGGTTGTTGTAACCTTGGCACAGTAAATGATTTTATGTAACTGAAAGTCAATGCTTTAACTTATCACCCTGCATCCTGAAAAAAAACCAAACAAACAAAAAAAAAACTATCATGGACAAAGAAAAGCAGTAGTAATTGCTTATGCAAGAGATACACCTTTACAACAGCGGACGATGATGCTCGTAGACTTGATCAAGGTGCAACTAATTTCGACCAAAAAGTTCAGCAGAATCAACACAAAATAAAAAACTCCCCATATCCCTTTTAATGTTGCAGCTTTTTGCAGCACACTTGTGTAGTCTCTCTTGTTCTTGACCTTTGCATGCTTTTCTGAAGTCACAGCATTTCGACCTAATTGAGATCATTCTGGCTGCTGCAGTGTGACTTTCCTTGTAGGCCACTGCTTTAGCTCTAACAGCTTTTTTTTTTGTTTCTGTTTGACCAAGCTGATCAACACCAGCCTCAAGACAGCAACCTTAAGCATAGCATCCAAATGTAGGTATAAAAACAAAATAAAATGACTTACTAGTCCTTTAAAGATTCATACAACTGTGTGATTAATTCCAAGTTGAACATGCTCTGCCAACATTGAGTTACTGCTGATTAGTTGTTCATTGATTCCCTGCAGAGATACAACTTGTTTGTCCTGTCATTATGCTTTGTCTGCAGCCTGTGGAGTAAAAGGCTGACCATGGCACTAAGTCATTTTAATTAACTGCTGTCATTACAACATATTCCCCTATCTCCACACTTTTTCAAACCCTCTCCTCCTCTTCGCCTCTCTCATCTCTGTCTTCCACTCCCCTCGTCTTCATCTGTTTTTTTTTTCACAAACTTGGCAACGACTCGGGTCTCATGAGGTTTCCCAGAGGTCCGGCGCACGGAAATGTCAGTTTGGCTCATTTTCTGCTTGAAGTGAGGAGAACCATGAATCACAGAGAGGAAGAAATACATTTCCCATTTATAGCCTCGTATTTATTGATGCAAGTCTACCATTCCTCACGTCTCCTCTTAAAAAACCCTCAGTCATAACAAACACACATTCCTAATCCAGATCAAATATTCTCTCCACAGAGAGCTCAGGTTAAATTTCGTGAGATGAGATATTTTTGCAGCTTATGAGACGATCAGTGCGCTCCGTATTACATCATCTGTGCAGAAACC